GTCCTGATACCAGTTTGCACTCACTACGTACGTTACTGATTATTTCACAAAAACTGATTCAAACTGATTTCTTACTAGTTCCATACGTGGGTTTAATGTCTGCAAAACAAATAGTTTTCCAAACGTATGCGACTGAACCCTGAATTGCCCTTGAGCCGAACTACAGTCAACTAAAACTGCAGCACCAATTCCCGACAGGACCACTTTTCCTCTTTCTTCCAAATTTCTATCCGAAAAAATTATTGTGCTGGTGGACGCTCGCATTCGGGATATGAGGCGATGCATGCAAGCTTTGATCGGATTTTTTTTGCCATCAAATGCGATTTGATCTACGCAGGTTTCTGGCTTGACTGATATTTCAAAATTGTTTGTAAAAAAACAATGAAAACATCATCTAATAACAGGGATGCTAATATGTCATAAGTGTCAATGGAAGGGGAAAAGCAAAAAAAAGTTGTCGCCAATGCCCCACATTAAGTCACTCTAGCTAGCGATGGCATTTGTGCGGTGGCGTGCAGAGGGTCTGTCGCGCCAATGAGAAGAACGATACATTGGGTGTGTGAGGTGCCCTCGTCACTCACTTTTGCGCGGCTAACGTGGTGCGACCGCTACCAGTGCGAACCGTAGGCTACACTGCGGATCCCAGTGATGGAGTGGGCGTGGCTGCGCAGTTTACCAGAACATGGCGTAGGATTCGCTGTTTTTGGGATGGTTCACTTGATGAAGTTGCTGTCCTCACTCACTTTTAATGGGCGAAATCATGGCTGCAACTGTACGGAAACGCGATAGTCCTCCAGAAGCGCAGCTGCCGCCACGTTTAATTGAAGTACGCAACACAGACTTTCGATCTCTGGGATATGGAGTGTACTTGGACGCGAAAAGAGATCAACTTCGTATCTAATTGTGTAGCGTGCTTCAAGTGTCTCAATCGGCTACATTGTGATGAGCAGGACCCCTGCGCTAGAACAGAGTATTAATGAGAAGCTTATGAATACTTTAAATTTTTCAGAAAGTACAGCAAGCTCACGCCAGACGTTGAACTACTGTGATGTGGCATTGCCAGCTGTGGCAAATTCTTCATCAAGTTCGACGTCAGTCAATTCTCGAGTCGAATACGTCACCATTGATCCTGTATCGACAACGGCGGCAAGAGAGGTACGACACAAGTTCTAAAACCACCAAATAGTAAATAGTTTTGGTCTTACGTCTGACATAGAAAGGAAATTGCGTGAAGGTTCAAAGAGAATTCGATGAACTGTAGGGGAAGGAGTCGGGTTTTAATCTACAGCAATCTTTCAAGTCTATTCTCCTTCAGGACATGTCGCAACCGCCGACAGTGAGGTGACTCAAGGTCGGGGTTCTCTAGCGAAGGCGGCAGTTTCACTCAGTTTTCCAATCTTTCAATAGGCGATTTTGTTAACAGTGTCCCATCATAAGGCCTTGGCACTATTCACCCTTTGCCACTTCCGTTTCCGAAGTTTAGGAGATTTTATCCATGACGTTCACTGGACAGGAATACTATTTCCGCTCACCCCTTTACATGATTCCAAGTTCCATGGTGAGGCTAGGGTGCTAGGACTAGATATTTCCGCCCTCCACGAAAAAAACCTGGGTCATACTGGCGATGTTACTTGGATGCAAGCTGGTTGTTTTTTTCGTTCGTCGTGATAATGGTGAAGTCAGTACGACCCCCACCCTCGAGAGAGAGTGTCGGTGCGACCCGCTCCCCCCCCCCCCCTTCCGCAACACCTACCAATTCTCCACATTTTCCAGTTTTTCACTCAAAAATTTCCCGTCGGGGACGGGGCGGGGAGATATATAGCCAATGAGAAACGGGGAGGTTTCTTAAATTATCCCCAACTTAAACTTTTTCTACAATTTACCGGGAATTTTCCTACTTTTCTACGAAAATTTTGCTGTCGAGCAGCTGACGGGGGAGGGCATGCCACAGTACAAATGAAACAGGAAAAACCACGAAAAGTCAACAACCGGGAAAAGTTTTCCCAACACGAGAAATTTCTCTTAAAGGTGCATACGACCCCCCCCCCTCTCCCCAACAACGACCGAATACGGCCCCCTCCCCAGCGGAGAAGTACGACTCCCCTATGTGTTTCACACAACGGCGCTTTACCCTGTCGACGCGTTCGATTTCACGCCCTATAAAGGTCATGGCATACCGAACTGAAAAAGTCGAATATCTTCTGCACCCTCTTACTCGAGAGCGCCGGGATTTCGCGCAACAATTACCCAGCACTATATCACCTAAGAGTACCAAAGTTGCTTGAAACATGTCAATTAGGGCAGCTAAGCTACCCGAAGGCGAACATCAAATTCCTCCCCAGTGCACCACCGCGGCACTCGCCGTGCGGGAACAGGGTACAGCATCGTAGTGTGAAACGCTTAGGGGGAGGTCGTACTTGATCGCTGGGGAGGGGGGGTTGTATTCGGTCGTTGCTGGGAGAGGGGGAGATCGTTTTGAGAGAAACTTGCCCTCCCTCCTCTAGTTGGTGGCGCTGCCAAAGTCTTCAGCAACCACTATTTCCGATAGGTGAAGGTACTGTTTCGCTCCTGACGACCCCCCCCCCTCCTGCTCGACGGCATGTTTTTGGGGGGAAAGTAGCAAACTTTTGGAAAAAATTGGTAGGGAGCTGGGAACTTGTGGAAAGTGGTAGGTAGGTGCTGGGGAAGGGGTTGGGGGGGGGATCGTACCGAGAAAATCCCTCAGGGGCGTCGTACTGACACCGCCATCACACATCACGATGCTGTACCCTGTGGGGGCATCGTGCCACACCGGTGTGCCTATTTTAGGAAATCACTGTTATTGAAACAAAGCAGTACTGCATTCTTTGTTATGCCCTCATTAGCAGTCCGCCAAATATTTGAATTCAGATGAGTTATAAGAATACAGCGCAAGGACATTGCCAACGAAACAACGTAGTACTGTATTCTTCGTGATGCCCTCATTACTATACCGCCAAATGTTGGAATTTAGATGAGTTATCAGAATACAAGCGCAATGGGCATTGTCATCGGAACAACGTAGCACTGTCTCATCACGTTGAACGTGTGAGTGCTCGAAGGCAATGGCACAAATAGCCATTGAGCTGAGTGGTCAAAAGTGGCCCGGTAGCGTAATAGGGAACGCACTGCCGGTAAGCAGAAGATGCGGGTTCGAATCCCGTCCGTGGTCCGACTTTTGCCCATAACTCAGCATTCTTGTGGTAGCACTGTATTCTTGGTTATGCCCTCATTACCACCCGTAACACCTCATTAGCACGCGAGCTAGAGAACAGGACTGTTATAGTCCCCTTGAAACTCCACGTAAGAACAACTCGAAGAAAAACTATAATCTCACTTTCGAGGACGTCCTTGCCACATGTTGAAGAACGGGTCGGCACTTGACCAGGTGGCACACTTTTGTCACTTGGAAGCGTGCAGGAATAACATTGAACGATAATTGTTACTGGATTCTGTTTTGGGATCCGCCCACCTATCTTCACTGCCCAGCACTTGCTTTAATTTCAAAATCCCGCAGCGAAAATCTGACAGAGGTAGAGAACAAGCAGAGGTGAGAGGGCGCGCCTCCGGCTATCGTTAGGCGTGTAGCCACCGCATTGCAGAGCGGGCGGAGTTCCGTACCATGTACCCGTCCCTAAAGGCTAGAGGAAAGGAGATTGTTCATTAGAAGTACTGGTACTTATCCCTCATAGTTGGCGATAGATATTTAATAAACTTCTTGAAAATTTTCTAACGTTTTTGGCAACCTCAATAGACATAATGCCATCGCACAGCCTTCCGCTCGCACGCAAAACCAAAAAAAGTCCGCCCGTCTAGTCTAGGGCCGAATACCGCCAGCATTACTAGTTCTTTTTGCTCAGAGCTAATCAAATATAATAGTGCTTCAGGCATCCACGATAGCATTTGTACACCCATTTGAAAGATCACGGGCTATGTCGACATCGATGACAGGTGTTCCGATACTTAGAAGGAGATCACACGTGAGTATATAAATCATTGATCGATCGATTCCACAAAATGTGCGCAGCCCTACAAAGTGAGGCGTATCGATTTTTGCTGCGTAGTTGCCGCGCAAACCGCGCGCGTCAGGTGCTGAACGCAGAATATTGACGGGATTAGCAATTATTATGGCAGCTGTTGTGAAAAATTTCGACACTGTTCTACCTCCATTGCGCACTCGTTGAGATTTAAGCCAGATGGTTTCAGGGTTTACCAAGACGTTCCGGGTTACTCTGACCACATACTTATTTGTCCCTGGAAGTAAATTAGCCCTGCTCCTGCTTGACAATAAATTGCCTGACGCCCTTGCCACAGGGACCGATGCCTAAACTTCTGGAGGCGTAATATGCCTCATGGGCGTCAGTTTGCAATTATGTGTTAGCGCTAAAGTAGCCAATTGCAATTTTGAGGGGCAGGGAGCTCCGAAGTGAGTGAAGTACTTATTTCTTGAAACTGGACCCATGGATTTGCGGCTCATTGACCTACCCAGTTAGCTCTATCCCCTCCCCCTTAAAAACTGCAGCATATTTTAGCAAATGCGCAAAATTGCAGACTGGCATCCCCGCTACTCTCCTCGAATCAAACACCTCCCCCTTCTTAATTGGTTTGATCTCTGAGCAGGAATATCACATTTGTTTGGCGTGAAAGCGCCTGGTGCTCGCACCATTATGATCGGAGACGAACGCTTCAAGTAGACGAACTTGCCAAGAACGTTTACGTTAAGTAACCTGGCCCTTGGATACGAGTACAATACCCATTTGGCGCGAAAACTCTTGATGCGGGCACCACAGATTCGCGATACCGTCGTCTGTAGTGCAGGGCCTGGACGATTTCGCGTCAATCGGACGTGTCATATTGGCGTTCAGTTTTCAAGCTACCACCAGGGACAAATTTCCGGCCGAATCCGGCTTCAGGGATTACCTCTGGGGAAAACCCTGATCCTGATTCCAGATATATGAGCAGTGGGGGGAGGCTTATTCCAGAATTCCTCGAGAATTTTCTCTGTGAATAGTTGAACTTTCTAATCGATTTTTACCCCATATAATCGTTCAGGGGCAGTCAAGTGCATCTGATTCGGTGTCACTGGGACAACCGACTCGTCAGGGATTTTTCCGAAAATACCGAAAAATGAGGAGAAACAAGAAAAATGCCTCAATGTCACAGTTGAATATGTAAATGTGTCAACTGATGATTTTCACAGAGAAAATGCAATTTTTTCGCTCATTAGCAGGATTTTAAGAGCACGTGTACTAGTAATTATAGGAAGTCGTAATGTTATATTTAAGTGAGCCTAAATTAGTCAAGCTCAGTATTTGCTGTAGATATTCACAATGAGTCGACATCGAGTGAAATTTCTTTAATTCTGTTGCATATACAATGACATAATAGTAAAGCACCATAGTTGCATAAAATCAATAGATGACACAAACACAGTCAATTTGTTACCCATGCTTGATCAATACGAGTAATGTTAGAGATTTCATCATCGTAAAAAATTAGCTATTCTAATAAATCTTTGAACCAAGAATGCTGAAGAATGTGGTCAGTACGCATACAGAACATCTCTCGCTGTATTTATAGCTGATTCGTCGCAGGCAGTCGTGGCGGTGGCAGGAGGGGCGGCATTAGCACGCCTTCGGCTTTCTTATTAACCAGTTGTGATCGGTTGGTGATCTATTTTGAAATGAACAGCCGGTAATGAAAGCACCGCCGGCGGACTCATTCTCTGCTTTGGTAACACCGCCCCGAGTACCTGAGACCGTATCAGCTGCAAATCACGTAACAAACGTAAGGCTGCACGAAGCAAGGTGCAGCATCGTCAGGAGAAGCTGATCAGGGGGGTCATTCAGCGTCGCTGGAAGGAAGGGGGAGCGGTCGTACCTGGACTGAGAAGATTTCCTTGATTGTTGATTTTCAGTTTCAATCGCGCTAGACATGATCCCTGCAAAAAATATCGCGTGTGGCGGGGCATGAACTGGAACGCTGCCAAAGCTGTCCTTCCACCAATGCCATCGATCAGTGCGCAACGATTTGGCGACAAAGACTGTTCTGGCTGCAGCTTTACTCACGCGCCGTCACAGGCCACATCGTTTACAGGGATCACCACTAAATCGTTGAGATTACGGGAAGGGGACGTTCAGTGAAACCACTACACAACTACTACTTGCAATAATTGCAATGGTCAGTTAATTAGCTGCCCTCCCACTCTACCTCTCAATGACAGTATTTAGGCTTTTTCTGGGAATGACTAAGATAATTTCTAGAAAAAGAGACGTGGCAGACGGGTAATTGAGAAGCTAAGGATCATGGTAGGCAGGATGGAGTAAGGGAGTGGAGGTCCTAACAGAGGAGGAAATTTGACACTGTCGATGCTGGACCCTGGCAGGAAAACATGGCCGCAGTAAGTGGAAATTGAGCATGCGGTCATGGTTTCGAGCGTTAGTTGGCCTTCCGTTCAACGCGTAATCGCTCAGCTTCACATTTCTGTGTTGCTGGTTTAAGGTTCATAACAGAACTTTTGAGATTAGATTTTTCAAGGGCAGAGTTCATGGGATTACTAGAGATTCTATGAAATTCTACTGGGACATTTTAACTTTTTTATACAGAATAATTCATTCAACGGCTTAAGGCTTCGACGCTTTCGTCTTCTTCACAAGACAGTGTTTTGAAGTGGATAAATCCGTTGTCACATATGAGTTTGAAGAGTAACTGATCATATAGAATATGATTACTTGTAGAATTCAGTGAACGATCGTAGATAGCGTTCAAACTTCTGTAATTGGCGACATAATCCACGCTTGAATTCTCTGTTGAAGACAGTGTAAATTACAGGATTGATACCAGAGTTGCCTGAAATGTGCCTTTGTCAAATTGAGAAAAATCACAACGACACAAGCCCTATAACGGCGTCTGAGAGGGCGTGCCCAAGACACAGTTGAGCGCGGCGGCTGTTGTGCTGTGATGTACTACCGGTATAGATCAGAGACGAGCAAGTCGTTCACGTGCGTTGCTGTTCCCTGTGCTCTGAACCGCAACGGTTCACGGAGATGTAGCCTCCACCGCTTCGCACTTTGATCCGTAGACACGCCCTCCCTATGCGCCGTGACATTGACTGAAAATTAGCGTCTAAAACGTACAGTATCCCAGCCAGAAGAAAAATTTGAATATAACAGGAGGCGTCTCGTATCCAAATGCTCCAATTACATACATTACCTATAACAAATTCAATTAATCAAAAGACGGAGTTCCACCACATGCAAGATTTTATGTGAGACGAGTTCATTTTCATTTGAAGGCAAGTGAAGCGATAGACTGATAGGGTGTTCAGTGTGAATACGCTTAGCACGGAAGAGTTTTGTGCCCTTTAGCTTTTTCCAACCAAGAGCGCCGTTGGAGAGAGTAACCAAGGTGCGATATGCCGACCCAAACGCCCATTGCAACCGCCCGCCCACAAACGGCCGTACGGTCACAAAGACGCGGTACTGTTTTCGCTTCATTAATGAAGTACAACTGATATGAAGCTTTCCTACATGGTTATACGAGTATATAGGTGCACCCGTATCGATCAAAGTGGTTGTTGACGCGATGCCAACGGGAACGCGTCCAAAATTGCTCGTCCGATGCCGTGCAGAACAAGGTTCTTTTCAGGTTTTCTGCCAGTGAATTCTCTTTCAGTCACTTTCCCACTATGTAGCACCCCTACTACTATTTCTAAACAGGTATCAAGTTATCGTGCCTTATGCCTTTGAACGTCAGTGTGTGGAAATCCATGATTGTTAAAGAAAAAAAGATAAACTCACGAAGAATGGAAGCCATGAAAGGATGAAAGCGGATAAAATAATGCCAAGGAGCATCGTTGCTTGACGTTCTTTCGCTTTCAATTTCCGTCGGCGTTTTTCCGCATTCATGTCTTTCTCATTTTTCGGTGCCACTGTTGGTTTTTGTCCAAAACCATTCTGGAATTGTAATATGTTCGAAGTAAAGACGTAACAACCAGACCAGGAATCGCATGCGCTAAAGCGGGCGGGGACGTCGGGGGCGGGACCTGATGTCCGATAGTCAAGAAATAGGGACCCTGAGGGTACTGCAGTTTGTGACGACTTGCGAAAACATAGAAAATTTCCTTTCACTACTGGAACCGCTCAGTCGCTTTGAATACCCTAATCCGTTCGAAAGAATTGTAATGGTACCTTTTTATGAGCGTTTGATTGTGGCAGCTCTTCAGAGATCCTTCTCAAATGCCAGCATACTTGATTGATCGCTTCCTAAATCGACTTTATCTATACAAAGGGTAAGTATAATTGCAAAAGTTCATATAGTAATATTTACTATAACAAATTCAGAACCAGTGTTCTCGAACGATGTGTACCTTATTGAGATTGTGCTCCTTGTCATCACCGTCCGAATTATCCTCAATCAATTCCAGTTCAACGACTTTTTTAGCTGAATTCGTGGCTTTCCGAAAGAGGTATTCCCATGAAACTTCACTCAAAAATAACTTACTAGGTTTGGCAGTAAGTAGGCTCAAAGTCTGATCCCTTCGTTCAGTTTCCTTTAAACGCTGACGACTATGCTTGATAGTGATAGCATAGATCCGTGCGTACACAAGTATTAATATGATGACAGGAATATAAAATGAGCCTAGAGACGAGTACAGAACATAGCCTAGAATAAGAGTCGTTGAAGGAATATGTAGCAAAGGATCGATAATCGATTATAATACTTACCAACATCAGTGCTGACTGCGCATTCACCTGGACGACGTTCGGGCCTCCATCCGAAAATCGGAGGCAAACAGATTAGCAAGGAAACCAGCCACGCAACACCTGAAAGTAGCGATTTGCGGAATCGTCTAATCTCTTGCCTTTCCTCTCTAATTTAGTCATGTTGCCTAGGTCCATATCTCGGCCTTGGGGGGGGGTGTGTACACGGACATACTTGCGGGCGCGGTGGCGGCGGTGCATTTGTGTATCGCTGCCGGTTAACGCAGATAGGATTAGAGGTTCATCAGCGTTTTGCTATGCTGCCTGCACTCTCTCATGAAGTGTTCTCTAGACCCCTGCCCCAATATCGTCTTCGTGTTCATAACTATGTCCGTGAACACGCCCCGTGTAGGCTTGGTGGTATGGAGAGAATTGACTGCATGTTAAACCAGAAGTCATTTTAGCAGGAAACTGATAAAGAGAATAGTGCCAGGAGAGGTGATCTGATACGTAATGGGAGAAAAAGATCCACAGAAGGAAAGCATACTGATGTGGAAACCCTCGGGAGAGTGCATATACATGTCATTTCCGCCTAAATAGGGAATCGGAGATCCAGGAATCAATCAATATATATGTACATAACTACTTCGAGGGTTCTCCAAATCTCCCCTGATGCAAGTTCTAGATGCGGTACTATATGAAGTCTCCATATTTAATCGACGAAGTCAACATGTCAGTTTTCCGCATTTGTTGAACAAGCCATAGTGTGACTTTTTGCTCATGAATGTTTCAGGCATTTTCCAAGAGCCGTCCAGGCACGCTCATCACAGTGAAGGATGAACTCGACGTTGGAACCTCACATGACGCTCATAGCGCTCATAAAAGTTTCATAAATCCCAAAGAATTTCCAAGTTGTCTCATCCTTAGGATTTCCAAATCACGGCTCACATACTCTTTCCTGAACTTGAATGGTTCTGCGAACGATAACTACTGTCGACGCCACAGTGCGTGCTTCGAAAGTAACCGTAAGAGTGTTAGTTATTGGTAATAATCATACCCTACGCGGGACTCGAACCCGCATCTTCCAACCCACTGACCGGACGAGTGCTCTTTCCACTTTTCCTACTGTTCCAGAGATTTTCCCAGTTTCTCTCTAAAAAACTGTCATTGAGCGGGGAAGCCGTTAGCAACCAACTACTGATTCAATTATCCGAAATACCATTTGTATGGTAGTTCCGCGGGGAGCGCTGGCAACTACATGGGGTGGCAAAGGCGATGTGGCGGGGGAGGGGGAGGAGGAGGAGGGGGGTCTCCAGCGACCATGGGAATGGAAAAACCGAGAAAAACCAGCAACCGGGGAAAAATTTCTAGGGTTTGGAGAAGTATTTCTCCAAGGCAAATACCACCCCTCCTAGAGACCAAGTACGACCCTTTTCATGGGATGCTCCCATGAATGCTGCGCTCTGCTTCTAGTACGCCTTTCGGCCCGAGTACAACTACTTGTCGCCAAAAATAGTCTTGTGGTGTTGAATCAATCTTCCTTCCATTGAACGCTTGAATCAAATTTAGCTCCGCACTGGAAATCTATATAAGCGGCACTTGCGCCAAACAATGAGGTAACAGAACCAAGCTGTGAGCCCCTAGGCTCCTGTCTGGTTGCTTTCATTAGCAGCGGAATTAACAAAACCCCGATCAGAATACTGAGAATAACTTCATGAAGCGGAATTCAGTTTAGATGTGGGCAAAAGAAAAAAAAACTGCATTAAGGTTATGCAAATGCATTAATGAGAACTGAAAAGTCAAGCGAAAAGTCATTCAAAGGACAGCTTAGGGCGTTCTCGCAGAAATTTCGAAAAGTCACGCTTACAAGTCCATTCTGATCACTACAATAATAACAAATGAGAACTGTGTCGTTGCTTTGATATATTGTAACTAGTAAATCAGATTAGGTGGTAAATTAGGACTTCGATTTTTCCGAAGAACATACATGTGTCATTCCGTAGATGGGTCAAGAAACTACGGTAGATAATCTCAGAGACTGGGTTTATAATTCATAAAGGGAAGCCCTTTAGAGAATTCTGCGGACTCTTGCAAAAGTTCTGCACTTGCAGGACGCATTCGCTTCTATTGGGTTCACAAGGAAATGACTACTGTTATGACTGCTTCATACAAGCTGAGACTTCAAAATAACCCTGAAACAGTAGCATATGCTCCCTCCAAACTCCAGGACAGTTTCCCAGGCAAAAACGGAAGATTTCTGAAACAGTAGTAGAAGTGGTAAAAAGCTGGGAGTTCTCTGTATAGGAGAGGGAGAGGAAGTGGTACCAGATGAGGAAATTGGGGAGGGGGTTTGTATTGATACCGCCATTCCACACATCTTGAACCAGCACCGTCACACATTCTGATGCGTCGCCTTGACTAGAAAATTAGATGAGCTAAAGTCCGCTCCAAGACGGGGAGGAAGAGGCCCCAGTGATTGAGGGAACTATTTGGTTTTCTAAATGATCAGCCATTAGCAACCCGAAAAAGGGTGATGATTTAATGATATCATAAAACCTTATTCTTATGGCTTAAGGAACGAAGCTGAAGTAGGGAAAAATTCCCCGGGCTTCGAAAAAAACTTCGAAGTCGAAAAAAGAACTGCAAAAGGTCGGGACAAATTGTGTGCACGTGCCTTTTTTCCTGTGCGGTTTGCCCTTATCATCAAACCTTCTTTTCTAAGAGGCTCAGGGCAAAGGTCCGTTTTCCACGTTTTGCGATCTTTCTGTCGAATTTTTCGAGTTTTACAAATTTGTTATTAAAGTGCTGACACGACACTGCACTAGGTCTGCCGAAAATTCTATTAATTATTGGTTTCCCAGGTTACACCCTCCTAGGAGTGGGACTCTGGATATGGCACTTGCGGCAGTCAATAGACATGCTTGGCCTCTTCCAGCTCCTAGAGGGAGGGAAAAATTTTTTGTGTCGCAAGAATGTGCTCCATCACCAACCCCACTGGAGTCAACGCTCTTCGCCGTACATACAGTCATGATCTCTGCAGCGATAGAACGTTGGCGGAGCTTGGACTGGAGCTCTGCCAACTCGCCGTTCTTCACCAATGATGCCCTCTAGAGTCTGCAACAATTGGCAGCAAGTGTTCTGGCTGCGTTCCAATTTGCCGCCCTTTCGCTTGCAGGTTACAAAACCTTGTGTGGTGAAATGAGCACACCAAACCTTCTCGATCTACTTCACCTGAGCCAACTAACTTTGTCTAGACTACCATTTACCTATTTATGGGCACAACCTCAGATTCCGATCTCTAATCCCGGAGAACCCGGAAGGATTAGAAAAATGGAAGCGAACACTTGTTTGCCCCCACTAACCATGACGATCGCCTCAGGCTCGCTCGAATAGTTCTATAATCCTTAATTAATGTCATATGAGACCAAGAAACCTTGAGTGATTGAAGAATCAAGCTTTAACTTCAATACAATATTCCAAGCATTATTCATGCCTTCCACGGCTACGGTAGATGTCAGTAAGATTAGCCAGGCAAAAAAAATTACTCACCAATATAAATAAACATTCGTGTTGGTGTTCGTTTTGACGGATAAGTTAGTGGTGACGTCACTGAGAAGTATCGGTCCAATGATATAGCGCATATGTGTAGAATTGACGCTGTGACAAAAAGTACGTCGAGTGCCAGCCACATCTCACAAAGTACATTACCTGAATGACGTTTTTTTTTGCTGTACCCTACTCACATCATCTAATGAAAAGTTGGGTTTTACTGATGAAATTATACCAAAGTAAGAAGATATATATAGTGGGTTCTCTAATAAACAAAATGAAATCGAATAAAAACTCTTTCAATTGGGTGTAAGGCGTATTCCCAGCGCGCTCGCAGAGACGCCCGCGACAACGCGCGCGAAAGTTTTTAAACAGAGCAGCGGCTTATTCAGCCCTTTTTTGCTTACGTTCGGCTCCGAGTAGTTCCCAAACATTTTCTTTCATATAGGCCATTTACTTCGATGAAAATAAATGAAAAGTCAGCAAAAAAGAAGAAAAAAATTTCTCCGACAAGAACGTGCGCCCAACCCAATATAAGAGTCCGCCTTACATCCCAGAAAGGTTATGATTAATGAAAGTTGGAAGGAAGTTAGAAGTAGTTGAAATTTGGCGAAATTCCAAAAGATTAGAGTATTCAAGTAGACAACATCCAGTGCACGGAATCGAAATCGCGGGAAATTTGTTAAAATTAGATTGCGAAATCAGAGTTCGTTGAAATGACGTTGTAGTAGATCAAATTATTCAGTTTTTTCAATTTGTTACAGAAGTCTACGGAAATCGTAGTTCCTAACAAGGGAACCGCTTATTGCTCGGAGGTATTGGTTCACCCACTTGTTAGCCCCCTCCCATGGCCGTAGGCAAACCTCGTCCTCCCCTATTTGAAAAAAATTTCTTTCGCTTTTTCCTTCACTGAATGCCTTGGTGCCGAATTGACTGCTTGATTGATTGAGCAAAGGTAGCATGAGCATAATTGTAAAGACAACGTTGTCGTAGTAATGGAAGGTTTAGGGCTATGGTACAGTTCTATCAGCCCTGAGTGCTGTTTCCCAAGCTCTCCGAATCAGCGCACCTTCCTGACGTAAAAGTGTACTGAGTGGGTTTTCCTACAGTACCCTAATTACATAAGAGCCACTTGATCTTTCCTTTTTGCCCGATTTCATTTCCCAGTTCGCTTTAGGTAAGTAAGTTCAACATTTAACGGGACATTTCCTTCGTTTCCGTGGAAACAACGATTATTTCCTCGACCGCTGTATAACAATATGAACTATTTAGACTAGTACAGGTAATGAGCACAGAGTAATGGAGAACGACCGGTCGCAATCCCGGGAACCTCTCTCCCTTCTGAAATCAGCCCGTCGAGATATTGCAGTCATTATAACACCTCCCTAGAACCATATAACATACCCAATTAGCACAATCACAGCCTCTGCAAAAGCAGATCGTGATCCGTCTGTAAGTTAGTAAGGACGAAAACTGACTAGAAAAAAGGTAC